AAGATTGAAGAATATTAAAGAGATGTTACCAGAAGCTACTCACCTAGCGAGCCATCGACACTTGCCCAACGAGACCTTGTCAGCATTAGCCCAACGAGCTGAAGAAGCCAACATGTTAGAAAAGTTATCTCTCGCCCAACGAGAGGATTTTGTGGCCTAACGAGAAAACATTTTTTGGTGAACATTTTAAAGTGTTGAAAGTTGAAGAAAAATATAGTTTTTGAATGTGGAAACAAACCAGACACTCAAGACATGGATTGAGGCATTTCTAGGGCTCAATAACTCTGTCTTCCTTCATCCTTGTCATCATTTCAATCCATTTTTGTGTTCTAGATATATAGGAGTAGATAAACTTCATTTCATTGGAGTTGGATGTAATGTACCTAAACTCTTTGTAGTTCTTTCTATGCAATAGAATATCTTTCATATTTCTTATGTTCTACCCTCTTTATTCACTTGCATGATGAAATATCTTTGCTATTTTAGTGGTGTCTAATCATTGGAAAATGTTTTGAAATTTAGATATGGATAGAACATCCAAGTGGCATGGTTCTAGACATAGACCAAAGCTTTTGGTCATTCTAGACATCTTTCCTTAATACAAATCTTGTGTTTGAATATCTAAGGGATTAGTATCTTCACCTAAAGATTTAGAACTTGTCTCTAAAGAATTAGGACTTGTATACTTGTAATGTGAATACTTGAATATGTTAGAGATATATTGTGTGAATGAATGCACAAAGTTTAGATCATGAAGTCCAACCCTGATGAGTTTTTACATGTATCACTTTATAACGTTTTGTATTCAATAACTTTATATGTTTGCAACATATTTGAATCAATAATTGTTTATATTCATTGCTTAAACTAGTAAGAAATCATAATTATCTAAACAAACACAAATCCTATAGGAAACAACACTTGGACTTACAATATATATTATTTGAACGATTTGGTACACTTGTCAATAAGTTAGCAACGATATAGTTAGGATTCTATTTGTTTAGTTGTTTTGTATAAGAAAATGTGTAGAGCACCACATCAACGTGCCAAGACCATGGTAGTTATGTGTCTTTGTTATAATCATGGGCATGGTTTTGAATGCCCTTTAATGCATCAATTTCGTAGGTTGAATTGACTTTTCCTCCTTTAATGTCGATAGAGTAGTGGTTGTGTTACATCCTGCACAATGGTATAGTTGGTTATCGATCAAGGATAGATCATATACAACCTAGTGAGGTAAAATTAAAATTAATATTTGTAGTTGTAATTTTTCATTTGGACTATTCAATCACTTTTTAACTTAACTAATGTTGATGTAGTTTATATAGACTCCATATGAGGGATTGAAATCCACAATTCTTGCAAAAGCGTACATGGACCAACCATTGTGAACCTCATGTACAAATTTAATTTGTTTTTCAATTGATAGATGACACGACTTCGATAAGATGAAGTTACAATTTCATCTCCCTCAAAATGTTCTTGAAACACCCAACATTAATCTGATATTGAATTTTTATAAAACCGTTCATTAATGTTTATTCTTACTCTAAATATCTATATAATTTAACATGAAAAAAAATATGTTAAAAAGTATCATACCAATTAAAAATAAAATAACTTTACCGTTTATAAATATATATATATATATATATATATATATATCACCTAACAAATTAATTTTTATAAAATTAAATTAGATTTAAAATTCATTTATTAAAAAGTGAAACTTAACTGATGATTAGGTCTGGGTGAAAGAATTTATTTGACAAATTTTATGTCACATCTTTTTTAATCTTACATGTCCCTTAATTTTACACACTGATTTTTTACATTGCCACTTGTACTTAAAAATAGCTCTTCCTATTGAAGATTCTCAATAGGAGCTCAAAATGAGTGCTAACACATCAAACTAAATACAATCTCCTTGATTTGTAACCCTGTTGTACAAAATCCGTTGAATAAAACTCCACAATATGCGACCAAGGATTTTGTATAGTTGGTTTTAAAACCAACCAAAAATTGAGGGCAGGCAAACATATCAGTTTGCTTCAATTCTCACTGTGCAATAACATTTACAGAATCGTCTAAACAAAAGCCACTATGGAGAATTTCTAGGAGACAGACTTGAACAAACTTCTCTACTAATGCGCCAGCTACCACTCTGGTTTGGCGTGGCTGTCATAGATCTCGATTTCGTATGGAAAGAAGAATGTTCTATATCACAAGCACTGTAAGAGCTAGAATCACAATATTGCCCATCTGTTTTGTTCATCTTATCAAGTAAGGACTGCTTGATATGTGAATCCACCACCCTAGTTTGAGAAAGATTCATCCCAGGAGAGTTTTCTGCCACCATAGGTGAATTCGGATTGCTTAAAGAATCCTCCTGCAATACTTCTCCTATTCTAGACAGAATGCAGAAGGCTAAATTTGCTAGAACTCTGGAATATGCTTCCAAAATGGAATGTCCAATATCCTACAGAAACACAAACAAACCACATTACCACTGAGGTGTATACAAAAAGCTGGAAAAGAATCAAACACATCTATCTCTCCATTGAGAATCATCACTCAAGCATTCCAATATAACTCACCTTGCCATATTGAACTTTGGCTGCATCGACAAATGTTTGAGGAAGGTTTGGGTGTCTGATTTTAATCAGCTGCAGTAGTGTTTCAGCACGGATCGATAATAACTTCAGTTTATCAACCTCTAACGCAGGATCCTTCACAAAAGATGACCACGTGGAACGAGCTTGGTGTTTGCCACCAGCATGTTCTGCAATTCTCTCTTTCCATGACAATATAGCAGCTTCCAGTTTATTAACAGTCTCTAGGACAACATGTTCGGATTTCAAGTTCAGCGATTTAAGCATGTCTTCTGGAGAGCTTGATTCAGCAGCCAAAACCTTGTTCAATTCGTGTCCAAGGTTTGCCTTTCCAGACTGCGACATAGAAACAGATTGAGTAAAGATGTAACGAAATTGAATTTATCGAAGTGTACCCTCTCATCGTGATTAAAGATTGTTCAAAACCTCAAGGATAACATGTACACAGTTTCAATTCAATTCAAAACTACAAGATAACCTTTGCAAGTGCGTCTTTAATAATCGCTGGCACAGGCATTTCATACAAGACACTTTCATTGATGGATTTGGCAGCCTTGAATACTTGACGCACCACCCCACCCTGATGAAGCAGCTTCTTTTTTTCAGTGTCAGAAAGACCACATTTTGGAACTTTGGGTGATGGAAGCCCCCATTTTTTGCTATGCTGTGCATTTGTCTCCCTCCCTTCTGCCTTGTTTCCTCCCTCTGCATACCAAAACTCCATATTCGTCATCGAATCTAGTGTCTCCTGTCAACCAAAGACAATATACTAGCATAGTAAGTCATTTGAAACAAAGTTCCAAATTTTGATGAAGTAAGAGATCACAATGTGACATACAATCAGCATAGAATCCAACTTCTGAAGTGCCGGAAGATTCATGAGGATGTCTGCACGAGGCTTTGAGGTCATTATCTGTTTTGAGAAGATGACTCTTATTTTATTGCCATATGATCCACAATAATAATCAAACCTATATTATCTTAGCTGAAATGATATAAATACCTCAAACATCCCACCATCGGCACCGCTTTGCGTAGAGGGAACAAGCTCAACCATATAGTTGGTAGGAGACAATGACCAGTCTATCTCTCGCTGCCATTTTCTCTTCCTTTCTTCAGATAGAGGTTCCAATTTCCACAGCTCTCCAAAAACCGTCACTGCATATGTTCATTAAGCACGTAGGTTCGTACCAGTCATTTCATTTGTGACAAACTTCATCATTTTCATGCAATTTTTAAACAAACCAAAACCAGATAGCTGTAAAATAGTGTTAGAGCAGACCTGATAGGTTTGTGATGGCATTAGATAGCGCCAAAGCTGTATTGAGACCCTTGGTTCCCCCTGTAACATCTTCACCAAGCAAAAGCTTCGAAAATCTTTCCTTCATGGCTTCTATATCTGAATGGTCCATACCAAAAGTCTTCTCTTTGGCATAAAAATCTTGAGGACTTTCTGAGAGCTCCCATTCCTCCAATCCTTTATCGTCCCTTTTCATCGTTAAACAGTTTGAAGAGAATGATCCAAAAGCATCCTTGCTGGAGGAACAACTGGAATCATCGTCAAATGAATCAGTTATGCATTCATCTCCACTACTTGTTCTGCTCTCATCTTCGTAGGACTGGTTATTCAACATGCAACTCTCAAGGCCATTGTATGTCATAATCCCTGAAATGTTCCAATGTTGTAGACTCACAAAATACGATTTCAAAGGTGCTATACTCAAATCTAAACAGTGTTACAAATTTCATTTAACCAAACAATCATCAGAACAATACATGGTTGTCATTTTCAACATAACGCAACAATATATTCTCTTTGCTGTCATACACGTCATTGCTGCAAGCATACCTCCAAAAGTAGCATATGAATAAATAGCATGTTTACAATTAAAACCCAACTATGATTTGTCACTGCAACTGAAGATCAAAATGCAAATTAATGTGACCTGTTGCAAAATTCGCTGACTAGAACATATGTTATTGTTGCCAAAAACAGCAATATATATTGTTAAATATTCTAATAATATATTTAAAGCACATTATAATCGAGTGTTAATAAACTTTTTTATATTTTTAGACTTAATCCACTTCATTGTTATGGTATGTGAGTCTTTAAAAATGCATGGTGGATCTCGCACCAAGAAGGCGACAACATTAACAAGAACATATCCATCACTCACTTCTGTCCTAACACTACGTTAACATCTAAAACTCTCTATCAATATCCATGACAATTAATATACTTTTATACTCTTATTTATTACACACAATTTATAAGAAATAGTTTATTATATAAGTGTTTGTGTTTTTTGTATTGGATAGTAAGAAGAGAATTTTAAAAATCATTAATAATGAGCATTAATTAGTATATTGATGACGAAGTTTAAAAAATTAGCCAAATTAATTATTTTTTGGTTTGCATGTTTATATGAGGAGTATTTTATATTAAGGAATAAAGAGAATGACTTTTTTTTAGTATTCACTTTCTTTAATAAAATCCCATGTGATAATTATGAATAATAACGAAACATATAGTCACATGCAAATGTCACCAGCCAAACGTTTTATTCTTTTTTTTTCCTTTTGGCGTTTGGCCATACGAATTGAGTTGAGAATAAAAAGTTTCACTTTTCTTCCTTTGCAATAATAACAAATTAATCCTTCAACTTTGACAAATTTAAATTCAGATTTCGGAAGAAGACCTTCGGGCTTGTACGTATTTATCAAGAAATCAAATTAGCCTGAAACGAAAATTTTCATGAGAAGCTATTCTGCTTGAGTAAATTAATTCAAACTGCACTTAAATATTTATCAAATATTAAAAAAAAGTTGTACTTTTAACATAATCGAATAATTTTTTATTTTATATTTTTATAATATTTATTTTTATTTGTAAAAATGTTAACTTTAGAACAATTTTATGTAGTGGGGTCCTATAAATTCTAAAACTTGATATATATTCCTGTGTCCATGCAGTGTTCACAGGATTTGCAGGCAAAGATTCGAACAGAACAGAAAAGCTTCCAAGGCCATAGGCTATGACAGGATAGAACATCAGCAACATGGAATTGAAGCCAATGAAAAGCTAAGGACAAGAGTGCCTCAAAAAAGATATAAGAGAAACCCCAGAAAAGAATCCAACATATATAGAAAAAAGACATTTGAAATTGAGTACCAAAATATGGCAATGAATGGTGCATCCCTACTCTGCGCCCATTTTCTTCAATTTGTCAGCACTTATCAGTGGAAATGGCAGAGCTAGTAGTTACACTAATATCAACACTCATGGTGGCCCCAAGTCAACAATTATATCGGTCAAAGATGTTCAGTTAATGAATTCAAGATTAGGACTGAGAAAGGTTTCCACCACAATTTCTGTGATTTTATAAAACCTCAAAACTTCATACTTTGTACCATTATTCTAGCAACTTCGGACTTGTTCATAACCAAAATAAGAAGACCCATGTCACATCTAAAATAACGGAACAAGGCAAGCTGTTCAAATTGTGAGATTCAATCATCTGGTTTAGAAAAACGAGAAAAATAAAATATCAGGAATATCAGTTGGTCCCCTTTGATTTGTCTATTTATAGGCTACCAGTGAGTCTTATTTGTCTCAGATTATTGTACAAAATTATTGGAAGCTCAATATGCTAAGCTTGGCTTAAATTTAGGATTATTAATAAATAATTGGTACTCAAAATTCAAGTGGAATTAGTGAACATTACTGTTTATCCTTTAGCTAGTTGAATTTGGCAGAGCAACAGTGACAATAATTGATCACCATACAAATTTTGAAAATGAAGGTACTTTTCGTTGGTCCACAAACATAGCTACAACAACAACAAGAACAGAACCAACTACTCTGAAAATTGTCATTTCTGAACAGGCTTGAAATCAAGGATAAAATATGATAACAAACGTCTAAAGTCGCTTTTATCTATTTTTAATCAGCAGGATAATTAATTTGTTGAATAAAGAAATTCAGATTAAAACAATTTTGTACTTATCCTTTTTTTCTTTTCGGTTTGGGGACAACAATGTTTTTCGAATGGCCATGTTCACAGCTGGTATGCTGTAGCAAAAAAGTCAGTGAAGTTTGTGAAGATGGCTATTTAATATTGGCGACTAAGGGAAGAATAAATGTGCCCCTAAATAAAGGGGATTATTGACTATTGAACCTATAGTATCATTACTAAATAGAATTAAGATCATTATAGCAGGGAAAAATAGGTGTAAATTTCAAATTCAAATATAGCTCACTTACTATTGCTGAAACACACATAAGGAAATGATAAACAGTCATCATAACATAAAAGCAGTTACTAAAACTGTAAGAATAAGATGTGTACATAACAGTATCCAAATTGCTATCTTTTTTATATATGAAAGTATAAAGTAAGGTACATTACCCAGATTTAAAGGAAGATTTTTAAGAATAAATTCAAAGAAAATTATTTCCACTTCAAGACCCTACAACCATGATTAATTTTGAAGAAATAAGTGAGATGGTAAAACCATACAAGTAGTGTTATAAAATGAAAAGAAATATAATTTCTACTAACTTAACTAATTTGTATACTTAAAGAAACTTTAATTTGTTAAAATTGATGTTCACAGTTTGATCAGAAAAATCATAGAACTTATGAACCAAATCGGCTAAAAGAAGCACATAACCAGAGAGATGGGTAATCTGAACTTACTCTCTCGCTCATCAAGATCGATGCTAAATTTGCTTCCTCTGGTGCAGCATGCTAGCCTTTTTCTCATCCTCAACATCCTTTTCAATTTCTTGCTTCTCCACTGTCAGTGTTTGTTTAACCCCAATAGGCTGAGTGAAAAGTCACTGACTCACTGTGCCTTCAATAACTCTTGCTCTGATGAGTCCTTCATCAACAATGTTATCAAAATATTATTCTAAGTCATTTTTTCAACACTTTGCACTATTTCCAAAACTGATAAAATTTCGAGATAAATGCATGCTCGGGACACACCATGGGCCAGCACTGTCACTCCAACCATTCCTAAGCATTTAAGTTCACCTACCACCAAGTCACGCTGGAAATAACTTCCACCATCTCCTCAAATTTCAAAAGGAAAAAATCATACTATTCCATGGATTTACACAACTTGCTTTACATACGCACTCAAACAAAAATAAATAGAATATATTATAAATTATTATGACAAATGTCAATAGTAGAATAGATAGTTTTTAAGCACAATTTTTTTTTTATAATGATTAAAAAGTATAAACTTTTACTGGAGCTGTTTATTATTTAATCATCCTCATTTGTTAAATAAATTTTAACAAAAAAAAGGAAAGATTTATTATTGTTTCATTCACCATTAGTATTCATTTGGTAAAAAGAAAAAACCACAGTTAACACTGATATCATATTTTAAAAAAGGAATTTACTGAATTAAAAAGATAAAGAATCATCAAAACAAAAATAAATGAGAAATGAACTTGCTCATGTGATTTTGTCTCCTACATGTGCTTGTCCACTCCATCCAAACCAAACTTGGTCACCACATATAACTTAAAAGTATTATTCAGGTCATATTATACTTTACAACACAGTAGATTATTATACATTCTGAGATACAAATAGATCATGCAGGTTGAGCTTAATTACGTAATTATTAAGTAATCAGAGTTAACTAATATTATTATTAAATAACCATAAGGGGAAAATTAATAAAAGAGTACTGGGACGGAGTGGAGTAAAAGGTGTTACTTATGGAAACTTTACAAAGGGATGGTCAAAAAGTCAAGAGAAGATGGTCTGAAAAGTAGACCACAGGTCACGCAGATTCCCTGATTTTTCATAAAGATTTGTTTTTCAAAACGTTTTCTTAAGAGTTGAAGAAGATCCAATGGAAAGAGAAAGGTGGGGTTTCAAATTAAGGAGGTAAATGGAAATAACGGTTCATAGTTGAAAATGGAAACAGAGCAAACAGGGCAGAAGGTTCCTGTAACTGTGACGGTAACGGCGACAGGTTAAGATGATTTAACGAGGAAAGAGAAGACAACATTAGCGTACCTCGAATAGCATTGTTGTTTGGGAATGGCGATGTTGAGCATAAGCAAGCAAAAGAACAATGGCGCCTTACAGAAAGTGTGGAAATGAGAAGAAGACACAGAGTAAGGTTGGAGAGAGAATGGAGTGTGTGTTTAATAGGGAAGAGAGAGAAAAAGAGAGGGCTCTCTGCGACAATCATTCGGGCCGTTGGATGTACTGGGGCCCGTGTGTGTTTGGACGGCTGTGATGAGGGACCATGCATGAGTTGGAAAATATCACCCTTAAGATGGAAAATCATCTTTTCATAATGAAGCTTTTCAATTTCAATTTTCAAATTAAACCTGTTCAGTAGAGTCACTATTACTACTCAACTGCATTTCAGCTAAAAAAAAATGCACTTTTTGTACTTTTATTTAGGGTAAATTATATCTTTAGTACACTTTTGCCTTTTTTAACTTTTTCTTTGTTCTTTTATTGTGAATTCTCCTATACTTACTATTTTTTACCTATTATTTTTAATGCATGCTTCTTGTAAAACCAAAATCACGCCATTACTTAAAACTTTGTACAGGAGTGGTAACGAAGTTTTAGTTTTTAAATATAATTTTAAAAAAATTAAAAAAATAAAACTGAAATTATGTTTTACTTGATATTTCAATGCTTTTTACACTAAAAATAATGATTATAAATTTATTATCTTAAAATTTTAGGTCTTTTATAATTTATTAGAATTAAATAAAAGTCTTCAACAAACATTAACAAAAATGAATTTGTTTCTGTGATTGATAGTACTAATAGGTTGATTGTTCTATGAATCCTCCCAATTTAGAATGAAAGATGAAGAAAAATTAAATTTTATTTCTTTTTTACATTTTTATTTCTTCAATGGAGAAAAGAAATCTATGATATAAACATACTATGTGTAAGAAAGAGGTACTTTCGTTATCCTTGTTGAGGTTGTTCCATTGTGAGAATATTTTAGTACCTCTCTTCCTTGATATTCCCTTAATCATGGGCAAAGATGATGGGTGGATCCTAGTAAAAAATAGTTTTGAGTTTTTGTGTGTTTTTAATACGGAAGTTGCAGCAAAAGCTATGCATGCATTAGAAGCTTTTCTCTTCTTTTTGTCTTTATTAGACTACCTCATTTTTATTGCTAACCATAAATATATGAGAAATGGAATAGGAAATTATCTTCTTTGTTTAATTATAAAATATTAACTATATATTAAATTTACTGATTTGTACTTATGGACAAGAACATTATATAAAAAATATATACGTGAGATGAAGGAAATATTGAAATAAGAATTAAAGTTAATTTTTAGACAAATATTTTTATTTTTGTTTAACTTGATTTAATATTTTTAAAAAAATATATAAAGTCTTTAATTTACTTATAAAGAAAAGCTAACACCATCATGATAAATTGTCTCACTTATTAATACTAAGTCCTGAATATTTTAATACTTGTTTGAATTGTTGTCTTTCATTTTATTGTTCAAATTAAGATGTTACTTTTTCTTCTATCAAAATTAATAAAAATTCAACAAGCTAAATACGTAATAAATCATTTATGTAGAAACTTCAAATTTATATTTATATATTTTTTAATAGGTTTCAGAACTTAATTACGAGTCAACTAATAATTATCATACTTCAGTGTAAGTTAATCACTGTTAAATTTAATTATTACTTAGAAATAACCATTAAGTTTATAAAATCCAATCACACAATCTCTAAGTGATTTAATGAATAGTTTTACTGTTTGGACTGTTTTATTTAGATTCGATAATCATATGAAATAGAAATCGAATAAAGCTTATATAATAACGATAATCATAATACAAATAAAATATATTTTCTTAATTTCCTGAAAAAAAAATAGATTCTTATAATATATAACATCTTTTGTGTAATTTTAACTTACACATACACATCTAACATATTTAAATTAAAAATGATCAACATTATTAGCTGAAATAGTAAAAAAAAAAACACATAATTTACTTTTTGTTATGATTTGTTTTTGTTTTACAATAGTTTCACGAAAACCAACTTATTCAAGTAAGTTGAAACCAAGAATCAGTACGTTTTCACATGCGAGATCCAAGGTATGAACTTGGAATGAACTGAATATAATAAAAACAAACAAGTGAGTTTCACATGTAAGAAATAGAAGTAGACGTTATGAAAGTAATTGTAACGTTAATTTGAAAAATTAGCAATAAGCAGAACTGTTTCCTATATAAAAACAGAAGCAACGATTCTAAAAGGTTAAAAAAAGTTGAGAATTCAAACATAACACATGCCATAGCACGAAGGGTTGTGAAAACCTATAACACGAGAGAACAGACACAAAAAAACTTCACCTAATTCCCCAATTTCGGTGCCATGAAAACCGCCGCTACCAGGGGATGCTGTCTCTTGGTTTGTCCATTTTCTCATCACAGTAATAACTTTTAGTACATCAAATTAAATTCCATTAAGTAAAATATTAAGGTGATTAACAGGGAAAAAAAGAATTATTTACTTAAAAATTTAATATTAAAAATGATGGGGTAAATTATGGATGAATTATTGGTGCGTGGCTGTATCTAAGTTGTCTAGTATTGGAAGAAGCAGAAAAGTAGCTTGCCTCCGTTTGCCGCTCCTATTCCTATCATCACATACTCCCTATGCTAACAAACAAAAGCTTAATAAGAAGTTGCATGCTCAACCCCACCACACAAGCTCCAGGCCACCACTATATTTTGTCTCCGTTTGGAATCACACTTAAATTTAAGGTTTAATCCTTTTCGACATCCCTATTTATGTACGAATGTCTCAATTGGGTCCTCGTTTTTTAAAGTGTATCAAAATGGTCCCTAATTTTGAAAATCGATATCAATTGAGTCCTTTCCGTTAAGTTGGCTGGACGGCGTTAAAAAAATTGATGAGTGGATGCTGAGATGACGAACGAACGCTCGTCCACCAG